ATATTAAATTATTTAAAATATTTAATTATAATATAAATGTAATATATTAAAATATTTTTCAAATAAATTTTGAAAAAATAAAATAGTTTAAAGAAATAAAATTCTGATTTTAGAATATCTTATATATTCCTATTAAATTTTATAAATGATAAAATATGATTGAAATATATAAATACGATCCACTATTCTAAAGAAATAAAATCACAGAAAATTTACAAATATAAGAAAGATCTGAGAAAGAAAAGAATTTTCGAGACAATCAAATGAACATATTGTATATGCAACTCTTGTTAAATCTGGTCAATCACCTCAAAAACTAAAAATAAAGAATGCATAAAGATAAATTTGAAGAACAGATCATTTTCTGAAATCCAAGAAAATTATAAAATCGATATTTATACTTTTTTTTTTAAAGATAGTTGCATGTAATTATTATTTTCTATTTTTTTTTGTATCTTTTATTTTTTACATAAGGATTTTCTTAATTATTAAATATTGCAGTGTTAAGTGAAATTAACAATTTTAAGAATTTCTAATTCTTCTATGTTCAATGCATAACTAATATATTAATATTCGAACTTGAATTACTTATTAAATAATTTTAAAATAAATAAAATATATATACGTATTTTATCTTCAAAACTATTTTAAAATTTCAACTTATTTTATCTTTTCAATAAAAATTTAATAGAAATGCATTTGTAATATTATTAATTGATAATAAACTTATTTAAATCAAAAAAAATATTCTGAAAATTAATCGTCAATTGCAATTAATAAATTAAGGCAAATATTTAATCGTTAATTGAAATTAAAAAAATTAATATAATTTAAAATATAAAAAATCGTTCGTTTTCTAAACTAATTAGAAAAAAAATTCATTTTAAATAAGCAATTATTTGATCAAAAAGACCAAATTTAAAATGTCAGAAAGCAATTAAATAATTTTCAAACATGGATGTTTATCATAAAAGAATATGTATCTAGTAAGATATATATATTTAAAAAAATGCTTTTAAATACGCTACTTGAAATACTTATAGTCATCCTATGTTCGAATAATCAATCATTTAAATAACCAAATATATAATTTTTCGAATATATAATTTTTCGTATATTTAATCAATTAAATCAATCAATTATATTTAAATAAATTTTATTTAATCATTAATTTCATCAATTATGATTCTTTTTTTTTTTAATTCTTTATTCAGTGCTAGGGAAAATTTGAAATAGTTAGTATTTTGAGACAAAATTGAATTATTAAAATTGAATTATTTTCATAAAAACAAATTTTGAAAATATTAATTCATTATATTCTAATGAAAATACTATTTCATTTCATATTTAAGTCAAATTAAATCATGTTATTTGAAAATATTACTTTGTTATCGAAAATAAAAAATTCAAATTTCAAAATAATAAAAAATCTTATGTTTAATTCATATAATGTATATTTCTTATATATTTTATTATATACAATTTTGTCATTTTGATATTATATAAACTATTAACACTATTACTAAAATGTTAAAGAAACTGCTTATTCAAAACGCTTAAAATTATTTGAAATATTTTTATATTTCGACAAAGCACAATTACCAAAATACTACCATTGAATACTACCGTTTCTTTATTTCAAAATATTTCAATCTCAAAAAGAGAAAACTTTATTCTTCAAAAAATCCAATATCACTTGACGACAATTAAAAATATTCATTTCTATTCTTTCGAGAAATCTCGTCCCAGGAGAAAAGTGAATAAAATGAAAAAAAAAACAAATTCGAAAGAAACGAACAATTTTCTAATCAAATTAACGAATTTCTAATCCTCGATGGTCCCAGGTACAAGACCAAAAGACGGCAGCAACAGGAGCTAGGCGCTCTGGTTAATTCCGGAAACGCGAGGCGCGTCGCGGTTCGAGTCCTCGTGCATCCGGACGAGCATCTGAGGGGATTGCCACTTCGTGGTTCCGGCCAACTTCCCGGGCAAATGTCAGCCCCGCAAATTCATCCGGCGAACAAAGCGCTCGGCGGTTTCCCATACTACTGCCTCCCCTATCATCCCCTGCTCTGCCCGCCCCTTCACTCCACTCATATTCAGGTGCAAAACACGATCGCGCCGGACCTAGATCCGAGCCAATTGGCCAAACTCAACGACGAGAAGTAAATCGAAAATTTCCCTGATTTCGGATCGGATCGAGATATTAAAGTGGTATTCGGCTGAAATTGCGAATTGGGATTGTTCGAACGTTCAGCTTGTGTACAGGGTGTTAATAAAATTTGCGAAACATCTCTCTCGGAAGGGTTCGATTCTAGAAACGAAAATAAATGTGAAAGTGAACTTGGCTTATTTATTGTTATTATTATTTTTACGGTGCGTATATCTTCGAGCCAAAAATATCAAAAATTTTAGATTAAATAGAAATTTAAAATAAAGGAAAAATCATTAGTGAATGACTACTATTTCCAGTAATTTCTTATTTATTAATTTATTACTTTTCACTATGATTAAAAGATAATATTTTTATATATCATTATTTATACGTCATGTTAAATTTAGCAATAGAATTGGCTAAAAAGGAATTCAAGAATGGATTTCATGAAGTAGATAGGAAAATCGAAATTCGCAATATAATAATATTGAATTATAAGGAATTGAAATTTTGTGCTTCTTTTTGGTTCCTAGAATCGATCTTCCAAAGATGAGCCACGAATACAATATATCCTATTTTGTCTAACTATGGAGAAAAGAGGCATGAACAATTTGTTCGTAGTAATTTATAATGCAATTACTGCTTTTTCTTGTTTGTTTTTTAAAAAAATGTGTATTATAATTGGCAGATATCTTTATAAGATTTTCCAAGAAAATTTAAAGGTAATTAACAAAATTAAAAAACATTGACATTGTGAATTATACTTATTATTTTATTTAAAAATTAATCGAATTGTATTTATTAAAAGAAAAATATTTATGCAATGCCTTTTGATTTTAGTATTCAAATTCATATAATATTAGTAGATTGCAAATTAAACTTTAAAATAGAACTGAAATAAAATTTTAAAGTATCATAATACATATATTGTATATTTTATGTAGATTCTATATTTTAATTTCCCATGAATGGATAAATTTTCGCAATCTACTTGTTACAAAAAACAAAAATTGCTCATTCTTATAAATTAATTTTTTCAAAATAAATTTTTCATTTAATCAAAATATCATTTCTTTACTTGCTATCTACAAATCTAAAATTTCGTTTTACATTTTTCCACAGTCATTGATTTTCTCCATAATTGGACAATATCGCGTTGTTGTTTCCGGATAAAAGTTTTCAGAAAATTTCTAGATCGGTGTAAGTTATTGTAGATCGGTTAAGCTAGTCCGAATTGTGCTCGATTCTTTCCTTTTTCTAAAATGTTCTATTTAATTAATAATGAAAAATTGAAGAAAAAGTTTAAGAAGAGAAGGATGTTTGTGCAACTATTGTATAACTATTATTATTATCATGTAGTTTTATTTTCGTTATCTTTTTAAATTAGTCTATTTTCTGTCCGTTCTAAGCGAGGAATTGAAAAATGTTGACTGAGAATTGAATACGGATGTTAAATGTACATCGCAATGTAAATGTTCTTGCGTTCAATATTCTTTGAATGATTCTTAATCGAATCTAAGTATCGATTAAGGAGCACGATTATCGATTATCGATACGAATCCGTTAATTATAAATTTAAAAACGTATAAATATATTATATCGCAGACTAGGAAGAGGATCGTGTAAATTAGCGTGTAAATAAAACTGTATAAAATGCAATTTCGATCGCACGGTATCGGTAAGTGAAATATTTATTTATTCTGTGACCATAGAATATCATTTGTTATGGCTGCCACGTGAAACTCACAATTGAATGTGTATATAGAATAAGTATATATACATATACATTACATTTCATAAAATTTATAGAAAGGAAGAAGTATTTATTGTTTATTATCATAAATATGTTTTTTTTTCTACTTCGAAGAATAAATAATAACGATAAATTAATTTATTTATTGCAAATATAATAAAATTGAACATATAACATTCATCGTTTTTTTGATACTGATATATTAATTTTTTTTTTTTAAATATGCTTGTCTTTCTTTAACATTGTTCATTATCTTTTATACAATTTTTATTATTACATATTTTTCCATTCATTTTAAAAACATGCACTTCTATATACTCATTCAATTAATGTTATCCAATCTAAAATTTCAAATACTGAAAAAAAATTTCTTCAATCTTTCACATTATTCTTTTTATTATTATTTCATTAATATTTCAGCAAACTCAATTTTTCTAAAGACTGGAATAACAACGTGGCAGTCCATTGTTTTGTACCCAAATTTTAAAAAGAACTGTGCAAAAGAAAGATCTTGCGCAAAGCGAATTCGATAAGAAAGAAAGAAAGAAAAAAAGAAGAGACAATTACGTGCAATAAAAATCGATCAACATTGATATTGATTAATCATAGTGACATTAATATAAGCACGCGTCCAACCCAACAACTCCGATTGTTTCTGCGTACCTATGTGATCATACAGATTTATCTCGAAATATACGTGGTTCATTAAGAAAACAGATCAAGTGTTTCTTCTTACTTGCAACACCCTTTTGACGAGTTACTCGTCTACACGTCGCAACTACGCGGATAGTAAAAACTTGACGTGCTTGACCCGAGACATCTTCCAAAGAAGTATCTCCTTTTTTCTGGATCCCTCCTTGCGAGCTCATTTATGTTCATGTGTGTGTGCGTATGTGTGTGTGTACGTTAAAACGTCGGCATTTTTTGCTCCTGTTACACGAGAGTTTACCATTTAATCGTTGGAAAAATAAAAAACGATATTAGAAAACGAGTTATATACTTTTCGAAACAAATATTATTTTTTGAAAGTATTAAAATTTAAAGAACTCTTTCCACTTTTTTCTTTTTTTAATTTTTTTCAAATTGAAATTTCTTCCCCTTCGTTTCAAATTTCATCACTTGAAAGTTAAAAATCCTAATTGGAATCGTTTTCCTTTATCTTTTCTCTTTGAAAATTTTATCTTTGAAAATTTGCAAGCTTTAAATTTAAAAGTTACAAAATTCCATTAGAACAATTCTTTTAGAATAATGTTTTTCATTTTTGAAATTCTTGCACCCCTGAAATATTAAAAATTCCATTGAAACGATTATTTAAAATCGTTTTCCTTTTTCTTCGTTTCATAAACTTTATTTTTAAAATATTACAGCAAACTCGAAATGTGAACATTGTAATATTCATTGGAACGAATCATCAAAAATCTCAATCTCGTTTCAGTGGCAATCGAGGCACGCATTGGCTCGACCAGAACGGTTCGATATCTCGATACAGCTGGTGAGTGGTGCACAAGTGTCGATTAAATGGCGCTCGCGAAAAATCGGCACGCTATTAGTCGTCGGATGGAAGGGACTTTCCCATAAGAGTTTTAATAGCGCCGTCTGGGTGGGCCCGACAGACATCAGATATGTTTATTCAGACGTGGAGACGAGCAGACTTAACCGACGGATGAGAGAAAAAAAGGCTAGATCTGACACTCATCTGTTATAAACAAACGAGTTACATTATCCTCCTTGAAAGGGCCTTTGCGCCTCGTTCTCCCGATCTGCATAAAAATGGAGTGCCCCTGTTCAAAAATGTGCCCCGCTATCGTGTGTCATTCAGTTTATGAAATTACGATTCTTTCTCGTTAAAACGAGAATTTTCTTAATAGAGAAAAGAGTATGAAAAATGGAGTAAAAATAGGAAAGAATAGTTTTTAACTTCTGCACTTCTTGATGGTTTTGGCAATGATTATATTTGAAATGGTGTAAGGATTAAAATTATTTCATAGTAATCATCGTTGTTGATTATTTTTGTTTAATAAAACTTTCATATTTCAGTTGTAAGCAGAAAGTTTATTTTAGTTTATAATATTTTAATTTGTATAATTTATATCATTTATAATAATTGTACTTTTAATATATTAATGAAAATTTGAAGTATTCCTGATATAATAGAGAAGATGAAGTTATAAAAGAAGTTATAAGAGTTATAAGAGAAAATGAAGTTGAAGTAAATTGGTGAAGATACAATAATTTATGATTTTCTTCATATACTATTACAAGGAAATTTATTTAAATCAATAATTCTGATTTTATTGAAAGTTTGTGCAGAATATAATGAGTTATATCTGAGAATTTTTTTTATTGGTGGGAATAGATTAAATGTCTAAGGAAGAGAGAATCCAGTAACTCGAAACTCGAACAAAAACTTGAAAGTCAATCAAAGAGTCACTTTAGTTGTAGTAGCATTAATCTATTTAATAATTCCTCGAAGAAAAATCAAGTAATGGTAAGTTAATCGATTATAATCTTCAAATAGAATATTGATAAACATGATTACTTGATTGATTATTATTAAATATTTTATATATATTATAAATTATTTTATATTGTTATGTATTTAATAAAAAATACTCAATTCTTATTAAAATTGTTTTATTTACCAAAATAATTATTTGCTAAAATAATCTTTTGAAAATGGACAATTAAAATGTCTTATATTGTGTAAATTTTAGAAATCTAAAACGAATTAATCCAATTTATCTTAATCAAATAAAGAAATTTCGAAACTTAAGTAACTTAAAGATCGAATTATTCGAAATTCAAGAGTTCATTGTATTTTTATTTACAATAATATCTACAATTGATATAACTTTCGAATAATATAATTCTTTAGAAATTTTGGCAACCAAGTTTCGTATCTATCAAAAACTACTATGTGTATGAACACCAATCGTGTTTATTTTTAAATAATATTTTAGATACTAGCCTCTAGACATGTTTCTAGTAATGAATTCGAAATTATTTCGAATCTCTATCACATATGAAGCATTCCCCTTTCTCTTACCATGACAAATGTTAGAGAAGAGACACATATGAAAATTATAATACTATTTTATATATTACTTGTTATGTATAAATAAAATTTGCTTTTAAACAAAAGAAATTAATTTGTTTGTAAAAATTATCCGGCTCTTCAACAACTCAATAAATATTATTTATAAATATTTGGCACGCAAAAAGATTCGCCATCATTATTCTACACGATGAGACATGTCTTGAGACAGGATTTATGGCTAATGAAATCAAACAGAGACAATAGAAAGAAATTTGAAATGATTCCAAGTGATTTGAACTTTAGTGCTAGTTATAAGGCATTTATCAACAAGTGCTACTGTGTAGAAAATATTTTATTCTCATTATGCTATATTGGATACT